GAATTGAGGACATATGTATCTAAAAGTGAGTCGACAATCGAGTATTCGGATCACAGCAGCTGATGGTCTTGTTTGCAACGTGTTGCGCTACGAACTGCGCTGTTTGTTGTGCATCACTGGCTGATCCAATTATAACAGAATACGTTCGAACTCAAACGATACACGTCTGCGAGTGCTCTATCCATCAGGAACACTTTATATTATTGTGTGCCTCCATATTGACATGTGCTGAGCTGAGAGACACAGACACAGCGCCTCCATCAATCGTTGTCATTTTTTTATTGTAATGTCGTTATTAGACTGCTTTGTTGTTTGTTTTATAAAAGGAGTGCTTTACGGGAAATGGCTTGAATATATCTATATGATTACTATGTTCTGCCAGTGGTTCTCTAGCCCATGTGTTACTCCAAACTAGAATCTACCCTTGTCGCAAATTTTATCGCCATTCCTTTAGCCGTCTTGTCGTCATTCAGTAACAAAAAAGCATACACACAAACTCACAAACTTTCCTTTTTTAGTAAGGTTTTTTACTGGAAACTGAATAACTCCTGTTGAACTGTGTCTAGGATAAATGAAATCGATGAATCTTTTGAATCTTACTTACACTTTAATAGGTATTATGGTCACTCCATAAAGTTATGTGTGTACACGATATGTTATTAATCTAAACCATAATTAAGAAAGTGGTACAACCGTGCGATCGCAGCGCCCCCATCCCGTGACGAACGCTCGTTGTTTATTCAGACTAGCCGTCGGATGTACCAGCTGAATAAACTTCACTGAACACCTGAAAATTTTTGAACAAATAAAAATGACAATCCTCGTCCATAGACGTTTTTCTTATAATTTTTTAACGTGCCTGTAATCCTGTAACTATCCCATAGTGAGCATGACCTATTACAAAATAAATAAAAACCTCGCTTCGCGCTCGCGAACGTAGTGCACGCTAGCTATGACGATTACCCCAAAATGCCTGGCAGTGGTCGGATGCAAAGAACTGAAGATCGAGCTCTGTAGCTAGATGTGGACGCAAAACGAGTGATGATGAAATCTGTTAATGACAAAACAAATGACCATCACCTCAGTCCAGTGTTCGACTTCAAAATGTTATCGACGTCTGTACAGTACCTACCTACGCTATAAAAAATGTAATCGTGACCAAACGATTGCAAATCAAACGTGTATTCTATTGCAGTTGCATTCAAACTGTCAAGTTGATCTGCAGTACGTCTGTCAAGAGCCTTAGATGATAGAAAAAACACGTAGAGTAATATAATTGTTAAGTAGCATCTTTGTGTTCTATTTCAGTATCCACATATTTATGCATATATCATTAACACAATAACTGAAGCAAGATATTGGCTCTCAGACTATGTAACCAGGTCGGTGCAAATATTTACCACTAGCTTTTACCCGCGGCTTCGCTCGCGTCACAAAAGGATAAAAGTAGCTTATGTGACATATTATACAAATACACACAGCGCCATCTATACCAATACTTTTGTTTTGCCTCGGTAATATCAATTTTCCGGGATAAAAAGTACCCTATTATTTAATCTGGACTTCTATCTTTACTTCTGCAAAAATTCAAAGCAATCGATTCAGTAGTTACGGCGTGAAAGCGGAACAAACAAACAAACTCACTTTCCGATTTATAATATTAGTAAGGATAGCCTAGAAATGCCAATACCGAAATGAACTCGGTATGATACATATTATTCAATGATTAATGTACATATCAACCTACATTACATTAAAAAAAATGCAAATTATAAGGTAACAATAATATTACATCTAGGAATATGAAATGGGAAAAATATAAGGTAATTTCCAAGAACGTTTCAGAATCAAGCAGTTTACAACGTTGAGTAAACACAATATATTATGTAAAAGTCATCTTTTCAAGTCAATATATGTATATTCTTTAGAGAGCAGAAAGTTTCTTGTAATAATAAATGAAAGCGTATCATTTTGGAAGTAACAATGTTATAAAATTCTAGTATTAAGATATTATTTGTCCTTTAAGATAAACACGCTTCTTATACCACGATTCAGAGCGTGTATTACTATTCACAATGCTACTTCTATACATCTATTCTATACATCTATATCTATCTTCTATGTATCTATCTATATCTATCTATACATATAATAAAATTGTAGAAAGCTCAAAACTTTACATTGACTTTTTTAATATAATTTTTAGAATTTTTATGTTTGTCTGTTTGTATGTATGTAGGTATGTCCGGGCTAAACTCAAAGAGTAAATAAATAAAGAAAACAAAGAGTCAAATTTTGCATGAATATTACCAACACGTAAGGTCAACATATAGGCTACATATTATCACGCTATCACCCTACGGGAGAGGAGTTGTGTAACCTATCCAAAATCACTATTCCATGGGGACGAAGTCGCGGGCATCTACTAGTACCTATGTATATAAAATCACAATACCCAGTAATTCAATGTTTGTTTGTTGCACTAGTTTTATAAAATGGTAATTATGTCTATTAAAAAAAACCAATGTCAGTAAATCATATGGAGCGTTTATTACATTAAGAGGGCAGATAACACAAAACAAATACTTTTTTTTATAAACCTTTTTAACAAACCTTGAAGAAATAAAGAAGTACCTATGTTTGATTTTTCCTAATCTTGCTTGCATAAAAATATGTTCGTTACAATCACAGGTCTGAATCATTTTTCTTTCATTGCCATGTATATTGTGTTTTGTGCATCTCAATATAAATTTAACAAAGCAAAAAAACCAATAAATTAAAACTAATCCACTTACTGTAGGATACTGGAAATACTAGGTACTGTATGATTACTATAATTATCAAGTTCTTTTTATGGGATAAGCCGGTAAACGAGCAGATGGAATACCTGATGGTAAGCAATCGGCGCCGCCCATGGACACCCGAAACACCAAAGGTGTTACAAGTGCGTAACCGGCCTTTCGAGGATTAGGAATTTGAGAATTATTGGGGATTCGGGGATTGGGGAGATTGAGGAAGGGGGCATTTGGAGCTCCGGTAACCTCACTTACACGCCGAAACACAATGCAAGTGCTATTTCACGTCGGTTTTCTGCTCGGCTATTGTATCACTCCAGTCGAGTCGGACTATTCGTGCTGAAGCATGGCTCCCCCACACTTGTTTATTTGTTAAACAGGGCACAGATTTCATTAGCGTTCGGGTAGTACTCAAGTAATTTAGTTTTTGAATGGTTCTTTATTATGTATTATACAGCATGAAGTTAATTGGATGATATTAGTAAATTAATATGATGAATAATGGAACCTGCCACACTAATGAGATAATCCGCAGGCTCGCCACCATGGTTGTGTGTGTGTATGTGTGTGTAATTTTATTATCCCCAATGTAACGCTGACATATTTTTATTCAGCTACAAATAGAAAGAGTATGGTCAATCTATGAAATAAAATATAAGAACATAATTAACCTGTGGGTGTCATGTGGATCAAAGGACATCACTACCTCCATCACTGATTATTAACTTTTCCAAATTAGAAGTACCATATCATTTGAAATTATGTCTGATGAGAGCAGTATATTAACCTGCCGATATAGAATAACCTTATACCTAGCCAATAATTTTAACTCGATTCACTACTAGGCAAAAACAAAAACACTAAACCTACACAAATATTGGCCATATCTTTCCTGAACTAGATAAACGATTAAGAAATTAGATGAGAAATATAAACCAGAGTTTGACATTAGCTTTAAAAAATTTGGTAGCGAGATTAGATCTCCTCGCGGACTAAACCATTTGTAGGATCAGGTAGCTGCGAACGAAGCGTAAGTATTTGCGGTTAGCTATTATCAACAGCTTAACTTTACTTTAACACTTTTGGTGTGGGAGAGCCATGCTTCGGCACGAATGGGCCGGCTCGACCGGAGTGATACCATGGCCTCACAGAAAACCGACGTGAAGCAACGCTTGCGTTGTGTTTCGTCGTGTGAGTGAGGTTACCGGAGGCCCAATTACCTTCCCCTTCCCCAATCTCCCCAATCCCTGAATCCCCAACGATCCTCAAACTCCTAATCCCCAAAAAGCCGGTGACGCACTTGTAACGCCTCTGGTGTTCTAGGTGTCCATGGGCGACGCCGATTGCTTACCATCAGGTGATCCGTCTGCTCGTTTACCGGCTTATATATTCCATAAAAAAAAAAAAACACTTAAACTGTCAAGTTAAAAATAGTGAGTTAGACCTCCTCTAGGGTCAGGCCGGTGACAATTATAACTCTAAATAAGCAACCAAGAGAAAGGCAACTTTAAAGCAATAGGCAGAAAAATTCACTCAATTGCACAAAAGTGGGCAAATTTTTTACACATTAGGTACACGAAATATTGTTTAAATTGTCAAAAATTAGTCTAACTCTCGTATACACGGGTAAACGCGCGTTCCCGTACAGACTATATAATTTAATAAATATTTTAATAGAAAAGCGAATTAACTATTCTGTTCAATCAAGTAAAGAACGGGTTGCAAACTTGAAAATATACGTCACAGGAAAAATATCCAATCGGTGCGCGGTACTCGTACACCCGTGTGTACAATTGCGCGATGGGCACTCAACTCTCTCGTACACCCGTGTGTACGAGAAACACGCGAGAGGTTAATATTAATATCTTCAGCTGACAGACTGCTGAACAAAAGGGTTCAACTTAGCCTCCTTCGTGTAGTTATAATTCCTTTCTATATTAAACACTTTAAACAGTTTTAATGAGCTATTCTACCAAACTAGCATTTACCTTTGATATCCATAATAGAAGGAGCGATGGAAAAGTAGATATAATGGCATCGTCATAAAAATTATAAATACGTATGTACCAAATATCAATCAGAGCGATCTGTCATCAGGAAGGGGACAACATTTCAGTCATTCGATTTGATCCAAACAAATAAACGGAGCAAGTTAAATAAAGATATTTAGAACAGTAATATATATTTTGTATACCTGAAACCCACATCTTCGAAGACTCTTAGCAGGGCGATGTCAGCTGCCAATGTGTACTTGTCGAAGGCCTCGTGAATGATCACGACCAACACAGTCAGCAACGAGGCTCCTCGGTCCGCGTAATTTTCACCCACCACTATTCCCAACTGATCAAGTGGGACGCTGTAATTTATAATTAAACATAACAATCTCAAATTTGTAGGCATAGCTACACATTTTAATGGAATACCTACTTTTTACGGGTAATATTATATTAAGAAATTAATATATATGGCTATACAATGAATGGGCTTACAGACTCCAAGTTAATACAAAAAGAATTATAAACCGTCAAGAAATCCATTAAATACTTAGCCTAACCCAATAATTCTACTCATGAATCGACACCGAGGTCGCACTCAACCTACATTTTATCTTATGAAAACTTCTATGCCAAGGACAAAGGGCGTAAAAATCAAAAAGATTCAATACCCCAAGAATATCTCAAAACACGGAAATAGACTTATCCGTTAAAGAGCATCATTTCATTTTTATTTCTTCGATAAAACCAGGAAAACAGCATTGCAGCTATTGCTACGTTCCGATTTTTAAGAAGAAGGTTTTGGTGAAATTACTGATTGTATCTAACTTTTATTTCCGAATGCCAAACGTATTAAGAAATATATCTTTAACGTTCACATTTTATAGCAAGCTTTATATTACAAGATACCTGCTTTTATTTCTGAATCAGTAGGTATCTACACTGGTTTATTCAGATTTTGTAACACAATACCAAAACCTACAGTTTCTGCAACAAATTCCTAAGATTTCACATTCCTAAACAAATCATGATTCAATAAACTCTTGAACGAAAAATATAAACTTTGTTTGAGATGCATTACAAACTCGATGTTGCAATCTATGAGCGATTGTGAGGCGGGAACTACAACCCATAATTCAGGTCGTTGAACCCGTCTGCTATAGTCATTTATGCAACGGCTTAACAAGTAGGCTTCAGATTTTTTAACAAAGCCTTTAAGAACTAAAGAAATTCTTACTTTAAGCTTTTGTGGTGAAATGCTAAAAAGAAATGTATTTTATTCTTGGCCGTTATTATTTATGAAAATTCAGCGTAAATACCTCTCTCAAAATGTATTTACCTATTCACCGTAGATTTTTCAATCCACGCGATTCTATCAATCTTTGCAATTACCTATAAGAAAATTGATTTAAAGAATTAACTAGATTTCTCTCTAGTAGACGGGTTTGGTCCGGTAAATCGTTAACTTCATTTTTATTGGAGAAAAAATATAAAATGTTGCAGAGCCGTGACATTTCTTAAGCATATTTAGCGCCTAGTGGTGCAGACTGTAGCGGAAGTTAAAATGTAGCGGTAGTAGCATATTTCTTGTCTCAGGTAATTAGATAATGGAGAAGAGGAACGTAATTCAATCTCGGATAATATTAGCTGTTAGCTGGATGAATTAGGCGCGCAGTAACCATATTCATTAACTCACTTGATCAAAGGATGTGCCACAGTTACGAACAAGTTTTTAGTAAGGACAGTCGCTACCGAATAATGCATTATGTTCCGCCGAATACTCGCTACGTAAGGATGTTCCCGGATTGTCACTCGCCTGCCTTTGAACACCTGAAATTAATCAAGATACATGTACAAGTTGTCTTGTAAGCCCACCTTCTTAATGTTAATAAATATTAGCTACATATGTAAAGGTAGTTTATATGGTTTTAATATCGGAATTATTTTCCCACAATTTTATATTTCCTATCAAAACGACGCCATGCCAGGAATGTATGAGGGTTTCTATACAACAATGGCTATCGGAAAATACCATCAATTGTTTCCCCATTTGCAGCGCACTTTTAACTGCGTACGAGACAGCTTTTATTAGATATACGATCATTATTTTCTCCCCGACCCTGTTCAAAACATTATTGCATTCTTATTCAATATGAAAAAGGAAGTAAAACAACTTACACTAAATGTTATTGTACCATATACATTAACAACCAATTATATTTTAATGGACCTTAATGTATCAAAGTAAGCAATGTTAGTACAGCGTACCTTTTTATTGAGTATAGGTATATCTCCCATATTCCAATAATTATTTTCTTCGAACATTAGAGGCAAATGCAATTTGGTGTTATTATCGTGATCAATATTTACATTAGAACGGAAACAAATGACAACCCTAAACATAAAAATAAGCAAAAAACATCGCATTTCACACTTATCTGTAAATAAAATGATCCATTGTTAGAGGCGGGTATATTGGAATTCAAATATTTAAGCGTTGTGGGAGAAAAGTCGTATTATCGGGGATAATACGGGTAAGGTTTAGTCCTTGTGTAAAGAATAAGATCAATATAAGCTCCCAAGAGTCATTCGTGAGATCAATTAGGGCGAAGATGTGGTCACTAATATGTTTACGTCACCGTCATATCGCAGCGGCTGGCCGGAGTGAGCTCTCGCCCGTAATATGTACGCCGATCATATTGCGCCCAGTCTTGCAATAATTGATTGTACACGTAGCTTAGGTATAGATGTGATTGGAACTGTGATAGCTCAGACGACGAACCCGATAGCCTGATGCCGCCATATTGTTGGAAGGTAGTGATGTAACGTTGCCATCGGCTCGATGCATTTCAACTCGATCGAGTAGGTAATTATATAGCTACATCATTATATTTATATAAATACTGAATCTTGAAACTATCATTATATTTATGTAAATACTGAATCTTGAAACTTTGTGTTTTGAAATTCTACTGGTTCAGTCAACTAAGATTAACCTTTTCCTAAAATATGACAATGCTTATATCATCGGTCTAATTACGGCAACTTAACGAGTTACCGGGGCTTCGGCTAGAAGTGTAGGAGTAGGCACGGGGTGGTTTTTAGTCAGTAAGAGTCTGACACTCCCTCCCGCCTCACCCAGGCGGGAGAAGATATTCGATGATTTTCTACCCTTAAAAAAATTAAAAAAGGATCTATAAACTATATGTAATTTTTATTCTTTGACAAATACTATAACGAGACTTGAATAAATAATACAGATATTTCACTTCATGCTTTTTTGACTATTTAAAGACATCATATATTTTGTTAAATCTTAAGATTTTATACAATGTAGTTTTTGAAGAACAGTCTTTAACTGTGGAGAGGTATATTTTCAACAATGAATACCGCAGTCTATGTCGACACTCTAATAGTGTGATCGTCTACGAAAATCCATCGAAGGATAATCCAGGAGAAATTTTAGACGATGCATTGGCATCCCCCGCGCCCCTACCATGCCACAAATGTTTACAAATATACGCATAAATATTATAGACCAGCGTATAAATCAACAGACTATACAAATCGATTCACTGAAGGATAAATTGGAAATGGTAAACTAGACAGGGATAAAAGGCAACCGCTTTTGATACGATTTGCCATTTCTATAAACCATATAATACTCAAGAAATGTTTAAATATGTTTATACTTTCAAGAATGTTCATTAAAATTACTTACAACGGCTCAAAATATCCAATTTCATTATCTCAGTTACGTTGATACTATCAATCTGACATTCGTAATCTATTAGGTTCTGGCCGTAGGATCTATACTAATATTATAAAGCTGAAGAGTTTGTTTTTTTGTTTGTTCGTTTGAACGCGCTAATCTCCGAAACTACTGATTCGAATTGAATAATTCTTTTTGTGTTGGATAGTCCATTTATCGAGGAAGGCTATAGTTTATATAACATCACGCTGCGACCAATAGGAGCGAAGAAACCGTAATAAATGTGTAAAAACGGGAAAAATTATTCATCTTTGAGGGCTTCCGTTGCGTGCGCTGCGAATACAGTTCAAGATACACAAAATAAATGAATGAAAGAAGTATTCGTCTTAAAATGATCTATAAAAAAGTTCTCGACATTATATGTCTATCTTTTAACATTAACTCACAAGAACCGCTTTTATGGTACCTAATTAGGTCGAAATTATTAACATTTATTTGTTAAAGTTGTATCAACATAATAATATTAATCTTTATCCAAATTAATGTGTTGTTGGTTAAAAGTATTTCATTGAATATAATTGTCTTTGACATCCCTTAATTTCAACGAACAATTTAGAAGGTATTACTATATTTATATGACACAAAGGTGACTGACTGACTGACATAGTGATCTGTCAACGCACAGCCCAAACCACTGAACGGATCGGGCTGAAATTTGGCATGTAGGTAGATATTATGACGTAAGCATCCCCTAAGAAAGGATTTTGATTATTTCCATCCCCAATGGGGTAAAATAGGGGATGACAGTTTGTATGGCACTTTGTCAGTTTTTAACCAATCGGGTTGAAATTCGGCGTGCAGGTATATGTCGTGACCTAAGCGTCCCCTAAGAAAGGATTTTGATTAGGTATATTCACCCCCAATGGGGTAAAATAGGGAATGAAAGTTTGTTACACGCTTTGTCAGATTTCCACAGATCGAGTTCAAATTCGGCGAGCAGAAAGATGTTATGACTTAAACGTCTCTTATGAAAGGATTTTGATAATTTCCACCCCCAATTGGGTTAAATAGGGAATGAAAGTTTGTATGAAACTATGTCTGTTTTACACCGATCGAGATGAGACTTTGTATGCATAAAGTTACTATGACAAAGGTATCTCTTTAGAAAGGATTTTGATAAATTCCACCCTGTAGGGGATAAAATAGGAAATGAGAGTTTGTAGGTATAAATCGCTTAGCTATTGAATCTGGCAACATTGCAACTTTTTGAGTTACATTCGGTAAAACGATAATTTGAGACCTGGGAAACGATGTATGACAGTTTTTATCACAGAGGGCCCACGAGACCGGGAACTATGCGTTAAAGCCCAGAGACTCTCTACCTCTCAACCACTGAACTTATTTTAGAGAGATTCGGTACAACAATAGTCAATAGAATAGATTTTATCACTAAAACCTTACACACTGTACGGAAACAAACACTGTACTGGTAAGATCCATGATGAAACCACGATAAATCATTTCACATGCACTGAATTGATTTTGCTGAATTCTGTTAGAAGTAATTAATCTACGCGGTCAAAGTCACGGGCAACAGCTAGTGTATGATGAGATTCATAAATAAACTCAGACAAAAGCTTTAAGAATAACAATTTTATTAGTAAAACTTATAAATAATCAAACTACGAAAAATTACAACATTATCGTCACATATAACTAAATTAAAAATTATGTTCTAAATAAACGCTTTAAACTACTTTAAAAAACCTTTGCATACTTACGTAAATATTTTTAATCTGCCGTCCCCTTGTACAAAACGTCGATATCAGTAATATTTACGGACATCACTACTACCTGAATACATGGTTTACTAAATTTTCATTGAGTTTGCAAACGAATTGATAATGATACACCTGTTATTCGACTAACTAGATAATTCACATTTCTATGCCATCAGGCATCCAAATGTGGTTATCAATGTCCTCCAGGGTTGCATGACGAGCATACATCATTACCATCAGGTCATTTGTTTAATATAACACCTGTCAGTCTTTACTATAAAATATATCGTGGTAGTTCTCATGCATACGCGGATTCGAAACCTAGCCAGTACCAATGTGGTTTTTTTTTCGAGTTACTTATACGTACTTTCTAAAATTATTCAGACACCAGTGGTATACAGAGAAGGAAAATATCGTTGGGAAACCTGGGCTTATAATGTCTATTTATAAGTTTAAAATCGCCAACCCGCATTAAACAAACGTAGCTCTTATAGGCTTTTGATGATGACGATGATAACAATAAATTATTAAAACGGGGCTTATGAACAAACTGTCTGATAAATTATAAGGCTACGTAATCTGCTACGAGCTATCGCTACGTTGCGTAGCGCCGTAGCGGCGTAGCACCTCAAATGTAAGAACATTTTCAGATAGTGTGCGTACGACGTTTTCTCTTTTTATCGCATCAATTTTTTGTGTCAAATGATGAAGGAGGCACTTTTTAATTCAATCGAACTTATTACTTGAATGCAAATTACATAAACTGTCTTAACGGAATCTGTTTAAAAGCCAGGTGTTATGTAAATAAGTTATTATTCCTGTGCTAGTGTTGTAGCTTTGGGTTCTGCCGTGCTTGGTGTGGCTATATGGACGTATGCTCGCTGAGGCCAGGCCGCGGGTCGTGAGCGCTCCATCACGCCCAAACACGAAGCTGCACTGCTGCCCGTCCCGCCGAAGGCACGAGTACTTGACGTCGACAACGAATGCACTGAGATCACCTGCGGCCAGATACATATCGATTACACGTTACTTTGAAAAATCAATCGTCGAAATTATTAGGTTTGATTAAAAAAATAATGTAAAAGGTTGGTGGCATAAAATATACCTATAAGATATATCGTTCGTAATTAAAACTGCTTCCATTCCTTTACGTACGTAGTACTATGTAAAAAAATAAGAAATCTATCGAGAAATGAAATAGCATCCGAGCAAAGCTTTGACGAGCCACTGGTTTAATTTTAAATTTCTTTTTAAAATATACGGTAGCGTTTAATAAGCATCACTATCGGAAGTCTAAAGAAACTTGGGTCTTCAGACAAATTGGAACTTGCAACATTTTTTATAAAATATTAATATTTGAAAAGATCAGTCAGTGCATTAAAAAAATGAATACATTTTTTTAATTAACGAATCTCAACCTAAAGGCAATGTAAGAATTCTATCATCATACCCTCCAAACGACATTGAACCTTGTGATGATAGAGTAATTAAATATGTAGTTGACTAAACGCCTTCATTATGGGACTATTTAATTAAGTCGATTGGTTTAAGTTGTCCCATAGTTGAGTGGAAGGTGTAGGGTTCAATACGACAGCAAAACAAACTAGTCTAGACGGCTGACCATTTCATAATTTGAATACCTACAAATACACAAATAATTATAATTATGTAACCTGGTGTTACCCGCAGCTTTGTCTGTGTGAATTTTAAATGGCTACATTGCGACATTTGAAAAATACAATCGAACAAAAGCCTTCGCATTTAAAGTAAGGATAGGATACAATATTTTGTTGTGAATATTGAAATTAGGCATTAGGCGTGCGTTGCATTGCGTATGCGTTTTAAGTATCGATGATTTTTTGACAAAAAGTCGGTCTTGTACGTAAATGCATAATATAATTGTGAAAGTCAAACAAGTACAATATAGATACTAAGGCTGGGTTATACGAACTAATTTCAACAATAACAAACGTTAAAATTTCTGTTAAAGTATCTGTTAGGTCAAAAAGACGTTGCACCAATTGACAAATTGTTAAATGACGTCATAACTTTAACTATAACTGTAACCGCTCAATTTTCTCTGGTTACTGTTAATATTAGTGTTAAAGTAAGTGTCAAAAATGCATCTGTCAAATTGTCAAACGCTGTGAAGATAACCTTTGAAACTCTGAACAGCATGTCCCTGTTATAAGAGATACTCGCAGAAACCAGTTCTGAAGACGAAAGAAATGATCTTGCATGTATAAATCGAAAAAAAAGTATAGGTGCCGAAATAACATATAAAATTCAAATAATAGAGGAGGTCACGCTGGTTTCGAAAACTTATTTTGCTACCACTAAATACTTTATAAGTAATAGTTCTATCCTTTTTAAGGATAATTATGTGCAGTGAGCGTCAGCCGCTCAACTACCGGTGCATTCAAGAGTTACAGCACGTGAAAGTCGCTAAAAGTAATTTTACTTTATGTGCTTATAGACTAATAATAATCTTTATTCATCAAATCATGATAAAATCAAATTAGGTTTTATTAAGATTTAAAAAAAATCTGTTATTTCAGTCCAGTGTTCGGAAATTCTCGATACTTTTCACGATTATCTTTAGTCTTTCCATGTTTAAAAATATTACCCACATCAAATTTGGGAAAAATTGCACCGCATATGACTTGCAATACTTTTAACTTTGACAAAGCTAATGAATTCGCTGGTGCAACACATTTTGCTGTAACTGTTAAAGTCAGCGTTACAGTTACTGTTAAATGTTACACTAACTAATACTATAAATACTTTCTGTGTTGCAACTAAGCCCTAAAGTATTAAAGCTAAAAGCCTGTTTACCTAAATTATTTAGTTGGAGCATCACAAAATGAAAATAGAGAGACTCTTATAAATAGAAATTTAACACAATAGAATACTTTGGCTTCTATGCATAAAATTGTCCGCTGTTGTAACAGCGAACAACCATAAAAGTTTCATCTTTGTGGAAAAATGCTGAGACAAACATTAAGCCTCTTAAAATACAACAGCTACAAGGGGTGGCGAGGTTCCGATGCAATTTTGAATAGGGATCTGTTGAACCAATACTTTCTTTTCACCCTTAAAAGCCTCTCACTCCTTCTATAACAGTATTTTGACCTATGCATTAAGAAATATTTGTTTATCTATGAAGAAATTTACCATCACGTTCATGCATCTTTCATCGACTTGTTTTGGAAACAAAATGAACAGCGCCCGGGTGTTACGTTTAAAAATAAATGTTGTTTATTTTTCCATTCAACAAACTGTTTGTTTCAACTTAAGTCTGCAAAAGTTACTTTTGCAGACTTAAGTTACCTACTTAGTTTACGTTACTTACCAAACCACTTCCCTAATGTGTTCATTTTGAAAAATAATGTTAAGTTCCCCGATACTGCATTCTGAATATAGACTCATTGTGTGCAAAACTGTTATTATATTATGTACTCAAAAAGTGTGTGAATTCGTTAAGTTACCTACTTAGTTTACGTTACTTACCAAACCACTTCCCTAATGTGTTCATTTTGAAAAATAATGTTAAGTTCCCCGATACTGCATTCTGAATATAGACTCATTGTGTGCAAAACTGTTATTATATTATGTACTCAAAAAGTGTGTGAATTCGTTAAGTTACCTACTTAGTTTACGTTACTTACCAAACCACTTCCCTAATGTGTTCATTTTGAAAAATAATGTTAAGTTCCCCGATACTGCATTCTGAATATAGACTCATTGTGTGCAAAACTGTTATTATATTATGTACTCAAAAAGTGTGTGAATTCGTTAAGTTACCTACTTAGTTTACGTTACTTACCAAACCACTTCCCTAATGTGTTCATTTTGAAAAATAATGTTAAGTTCCCCGATACTGCATTCTGAATATAGACTCATTGTGTGCAAAACTGTTATTATATTATGTACTCAAAAAGTGTGTGAATTCGTTAAGTTACCTACTTAGTTTACGTTACTTACCAAACCACTTCCCTATTGTGTTCATTTTGAAAAATAATGTTAAGTTCCCCGATACTGCATTCTGAATATAGACTCATTGTGTGCAAAACTGTTATTATATTATGTACTCAAAAAGTATGTGAATTCATTAACACACGGGCCAAATACGTTTCATATTATTTTCACAATTCAACTGATAGAATTATGTTAATGTGGTGTTGGACAAATTCACAATAAGCTTTGTCTTCGTTGTTTCGAAATTAAATGAAATTCGAATGTTCTGTATGAACTGAATATTTGTTTGACACATTGTTTGCATTGGATTGTTTCAGGGTTAAATTAATGTCAATTTAATACCAATTACATTGCATAATAAGCGTGTGTTTGATGCGTGTATAGTAATAACAAAACTTGTTAACAACATTTAACCTATGCAAGTACTTTTCAAAATCATAAATGCATTCAACTGACTTTGGATCGATGGTGAAGCAATGGACGACTTTCTGAGGAAGAGGCGTCCGCGTCGATATTTCTTGAGTGGTAGTCTTGTGCCATCCGCAGGAACACCAACATTGCGATAGCAAGCATACCGGCGTACACGAAAAATTCCGTCGCCTGCAAAATTTGACAAGATGAAATTCAAATTCGATTGCATTCACGCTGCAAGCTCCGCCGTCGCTGGCAAAGATATACAGAATGATATTTACTTCTGTCAACCAGTTGATTTAAAAGAAGTACCAATGCTCTCGGTCGGTAATCTAATAACTACAAATCCTAAGTACTTTGAGAAATGGAAGCGGGAGTGTTCGGGTACATATTTAGTCATACTTCAGCATTAGAACGTCGCTTGAACACATAAGTAGCCTTAAATGACTTTAAGCACAGGTTTACTTAACGTTGCAAAATGTAGGTACTTTATTATGCAACAAGATACCAATTTTGCAAAGTAAAGCATCGTACAACTGTAGAAATTAATTATGAATCTTTGATAAAAAGAGCATTCAGCTAAGGTAATCAGTACATAAACAAAAACATTTGGTCACCATTCAGTCAAAAGCCTTTCTAGCTTCTTGATCTATGTCCCACATACTGGTAACGTAACTTGGGCCTTTGTGCTTAACTTAATAGAGGCAACTCAATTGCTACATATGGCCTGATAGCAGGCAATACTCCAATCCAATGCTAATCAGAGACTAGTTGCCAATCGGACTTAATTGTGAAAAATTGTAGAGAAACGATAGTTCAGCATTATTTCGTAATAATTCATTCGATACTGCCACGTAGCAATTAGCGGTGGGAAATCATTTCAATCCGTAGAGCTATTTACCACTGTTATGTTAAATCAGTTGCATTAATTTTGTTTATAAATAATTACTTATCTGGTATTTTGGCTTAAACTTAATGTTATTATTTTGTAATATTGTAATACTTAATTGCTAATTTTAACACATTATGAAACGCATGTTTGGTTATAATATCAAAATGAAATAATTATGTAATTATTATCTTAACAATGAATCAAACATGGGTTGTGGAACATTCAGCTGTCTAGTATCTATAGTGTAATAAATCCTATAGCGTAAAGCGTAATAACTCTTTTATAAACTACGTTTATATAAACTCTACAACCCCCTCTTCTTATAAAGTCGGTTAATTAATATACTAAAGCCTACCCAAGGGTAACTAATACTTATCTGAAAATCGCATCAAAATCGGTTAAACTGTCAAATACCAAGCGGTCACCGGTGACCGCAACCTATTGTTCTATAATTGTGTCTGCAAAACCGGTACTCGACGAGTTAAATAATATTAATAAGATAATATTATCTCGCGATTGGCTGAATTATACATACATGCATACATACATACAAGTAGGTCATAGAAGTCGATTATATTCGTGGTGTACTTATAACTATTTTCTGTTCGTCTATTAGCCCCGTCAAACAAAATGTTAAAACTAACGATATATTAATATTGATACATGCACCAATCGATTTTAATTAAACAGATCGGATAATGTAAACACGAAGCAAAGAACCCACCGATGCCTGAAGCAGAACTATATATTGAAACTGTTTACAAAACATATATGACTATCTTTTACCCGCAGCTTTGCCTGCATATTCCTATTTTATTCCATGAGAGCATGACTGCCTCGTTGGCCGAGTGGTCGCAAGTGCGACTGCCGGGCAAGGAGTCTCGGGTTCGATTCCCGGGTCGGACAAAGTATTACTGGGTTTTTAAAAAATCTCAGAAGTAGCACGGCGTCTGGAAATGTGCCCAGTATATGTAGTCCTATTACATGGGACTCATAACATAAATAGTGAAAAGTGGGTATTACATTGTACAGTGGCATAAAGTGCCGAAATGTGCAACTCTGCCTTCCCGTTCGGGGATAAAAAGGCGTGATGTTATGTCATATCAGTTTCAGCGTGATTGATAGACAAACATTCAAACAAAGAAACTTCCACATTTATAATATTAGTGCGATTATAATTCTTAACACCTGATTAGTCGAAAACATATTAATTATTACAAAACAATAATTAACACATTGTTCATGCCTCTTTTATTTTGCGTAATGAAAAAAACTTCATTAAAAACTAGCTACTGGAGTTATAGCCGGGTCCATGTGCAGCTCCGCTCATGTTAGTCATAGCGTGATATATTATAGCCTAAGCATTGCAAGCACAAAAATAATTATTCAAATCGGACCAGCGGTTCCGGAGGTAAGCGCATTCAAACAAACAGACCCTTAACTCGTCGAGTACCGGTTTTGTAGACACAATTATAGAACAATAGGTTGCGGTCACCGGTGACCGCTTGGTGTTTGACAGTTTAAGCTTTTATATTAAAAAGTATAAATCTAGATTTTTATGTACTGTTTTTCTGGTACCCGTATTAATAGCTCAAAGCTAACGTCAATCCCTTAATCCTTTATGTTGAGATAATAATATCTACAGTACTTGCTATCAAATATGCTAAAAGCGGTTAATAAACTATTCATGTACTCTATCTTTGCTCGCATTAACGTTACTTATCAGCGATACCTATATGTGACGTCATAATAGGGTTCATATTATAAACATTAAGTTTGTAGACACATGTTGCAATAGTATATTGATGCTTTTGTTGTTTTCATAGAGGTATAACAGGATGTGCTTCAAAATCCCAAAGTGTGAGAGAGCCATGCTTCGGAACGAATGGGCCGGCTCGACCGGAATGATAACACGGCCTCACAGAAAACCGACGTGAAGCAACGCTTGCGTTGTGTTTCGTCGTGTGAGTGAAGTTGCCGGAGGCCCAGCTACCATCCCCCCTTCCCCAATCTCCCCAATCTCCCCAATCCAAACTCCTAATCCCCAAAAGGCCGGTAACGCACTTGTAACGCTTCTGGTGTTCCAGATGTCCATGGGAGACGCCGATTGCTTACCATCAGGTAGGACAGAACTAGGTATACTTAAGCGAGACTTAAAATTGAGTAATTAGCATTTGAGTATTTCAGCGTTAGACGAAAATAGTTAGAAAACACAAATGTCTTATTAAAGTTAAGTATTAGTTTGTTTTGTATATTATATTGTATTTGTAGAAGTCCAACACATTTATAAACAGGAATTATGTACAGTATAAAGGTGCTCCCTCACCGGGAGCATTCGCGTGTAATGTAACATTACAGATCTGAGCATTACATCAGCGGAGGAGGAGAACCGAGCATTACAATGAGCACCTTGTAATAACACAATGTGTAATATCTTGATACAACTTGTAACTTGTGACATCTTGCTATGAAATGCTCAAAGTCGTCTATATGTTACATTGCACGCAAATGCTTGTTAGTCAGGGAGGTATTATTATAATGTAATGCTTAAAGTCGAACCAATAATGTTACATTAGGTACACGTGAATACTCCGGGTGAGGGAACACCTTAAAATACTTTTCAAAACTTTCGTAAGATAGTCCAGTAATACTTTGACTACTATCTCCGGGTCAACGAGATGAGCAAAGTAAATAAACGTGTGTCCCTTACTAGATCTGATTAACACTGTAATGTGTGGCTTCTGAGTAAATTGACGAGCTTATCTGAAGGATCATGGACTCATAAATCATCGTTATGACATGAATGTTCCAACAACCTGATTTGTTGCCATAATAATTATTAGCTAATGTGTTGCCACATGCCAAATGTATTAAACACACATATCATGTTTAATTTATCTGGAATCCCACGTCGCATAACAAGAGTTTATTGGAGAGTTTAGAGCTTTCAATCCTATATTAAAGACTTACATGTATATGTTATTAAATTTTAACATTCCTGTAACCTGTTTCCATTGTTCCATTATTTACTACACAAAATATGTTTATGTACGACATGTTTACACCTTCGTTTCACAGCAATAAAAAATAAACGCAGAAATCCTTGAAGAAATTACTTGTCTGCCTCACCGACCGCAATTTGACCCGAGATTCCCCCGATCTCTAATACAATTTGTACCGGGCAACCGTTCAAGAAGTGTATATTTTTATTTATTTCGTATTACAGCAAGGAAATATAATTAGCAATCTCTTTACAGATGTGGTGAGGTCGACATTGCTGAGAGGCTACGGTCTTGATGATAACACGTTCAGGATAAACTTATTTAATAACCTAGTTCACGCCGTGAACGCTTACAAATACTTCAAACGGAACTGTTAGCAAGTAATACAATATATAGAAGCACGCTTCTGAGCGTTTGCTTTTAATAAACCTCAAACTGAATCGTGGATCAATCGTTTCTAGTGTCAACAACTCGTGTTTGTGTATTAGCGATAGATATTCCGGTATATGCGCACAGTGTGCTGCGGCATAGTCTCAGGGATTAAGTATAGTACTCCGTCTAGACACGTTGATATTATAGAGACGTAACCAAACCGTACTCGAGGCGGTAAATCGTTATAGACTAAAGGAATAAAATTAATTATGTTCAAATAATTTAAAAGACTCAAATGCACAAAGCAACGCGAACTTAAAAAGCTGGCGTCTAGTATGGAGTGAGAATGTAATTATCTAATTTCAACACTGTATACCTTTTTATGGTTATACCGATAACCATAGTATTTGTACCGACAAATACTTATTTTTAAATAGAAGTCACAGTTGTGATAAATACTCACAAGTCATAGTTGTGACACACAGTTATGACAAACTCATAATCAACTTACCCTGGACTGAAATATCTTGGTTTGGGCAACGAGAATAACGATCAAGTTTCCAAACGCCACTGAGACGTACCAAGCAGCTATGGTTATTGTCTTCATACTTTTTGGAGCCTGTAACAAAGCTATGAGTTACTGCATCAAAAAATTATGTTAATAAATTAAAAGCAGTTTTTAGGCCTGTTTTCCTTTATTACTATTGGAACATTCAACAATATATCTTAAGTTGATTGGTAGTAAATGAAACTGCCTAGCACTTTATTTTAAAGGTGGAAAATCATCGATTGACTTCTCCCGCCTGGATGACGCGGGAGTGAGTGTCAGGCTCTTACTGACTAAAAACCACCCCGTTCCTTCTCCTGCACGTCGAGCCGGAGCCCCGGTTACCCGTTAGGTTCTCTAAGATTTCTGTACTCATAAAACTGACGAAAATTATTTTTGAGTACAATTCTTGACCTTACGTTAATTCCTTCTTACCTGTGTAAATGAGAATTCAAGACCAGACACAGCAAACATGATCTCAGCAACGGAGACCAGCAGATATTGTGGCACTATCCAGGCTAGATGCAGCTCGTTGGGAGGATTAGGTGCATGTAGTACTGCTGCATCCAACCTGCCGAGCCGTTCTCTCAGGCACAGCACGTATACTCCACCAGCTCGAAGGTACCCCTCACCAGAGCCTGACATTTCGCCATCCGCACTCAACGCTCGCCATCGAAACCTGGACAAAAACAGATTTGTTCCAATATTTAAGTACTTCAGTATTTTGTACCTCTCTTAGAAGATGCATTTTCGTACTTCCAATTGGCGCTAGTGTCCTATAAAGTCTTGTTAGAGTACCTAATCGTATGATGAGCGCACGCAAATATGTCGCATAATCATAATATACCACATTCCTCATCTTTAACGCATTTCAGAAATGAAAACGTCAGTTGTCAGAGTAACATTTTTAAATAAGCAATAATACAATCAAACAAAGGAAAATGTACTACAAACAAATAGTATGAAAATTACTTCTACCATGAAATAACGATTCCATAAACTCAAGCTTGATTAACTCCTAGACTCTTAGGATATTTAGAAAAATACCTTTACAATAAAAACAATCTTTCCACCAATGTAAGCTTTGCTTTGAATTAGCTTTGTTTTAAATAGAAAACTGACAAATAGAAAACTGTTAAATAGAAAACTGAACAACAGTTTTGATTAAATATTTACTTTTATAAAGCCTTTGAATGTTATAAAAATATGACTTCACAATGTAATAGGAATATTTATTTTTATAAAATGCTATATAGTATAACTAATACTTGAATTCAAATACTGTATCGAACCGAAGGAAACAATAACTTCGATATTATCCGGTAATAGATTAGCTTGTTCTATAAGTCGATTGGTGATTGCAACCATAATTGCACTTCAGTCAATCGTCCTGAGCGACTCTTCAATACCCGTAACAGTTTCCTATTATGCCCTTCACAACAAGCTTAGTAGAACGATGAACTTTAAGTTCCAATAACATGATATGACATTTATAAACCTTTAACACGAGAAATATATTTAATATGACATGATGAAACCTCGCTACAAGTCGCTTCACAGCGAAATAAGTATCACTTTGATGTAATCGTTGAACATATGATTGACTGTGAAGGAAACATGTTGAAGAATATCGTGATGATTTTGATAGGTATTGCATGTTTATAGGGTTCGATTTTATAATTGACTTCTATTGCTTGCCAGCTAGAAATTTCTTCTATAAAATTGTTACATTAAATTGTCACGTCACCAAGTACCATTGTCAAACAATCACTGATATCACTCATCTCACAAAAACGAGTCAATCAAATACATTTCATAAAAAGCTTTATATTTCATCAGAATGATAAATGAAAGTGTCGTTATTTTGACATAACTGCCATTTTAGATAAAAAAACATGTAAAACAATGAATGATAACTGATATTTTAGTGCAACTTTATTCCGCGGTTTTTATAAATAAAAAGTTGAAATGACTTCGTTATTATGAATGCTGAAACCAACCAATTATGCCTAATTGCTTCCACGTCAATAATATTCGAGGTTCCTATATATAAATTTAATCCTGTAATAATGAAATAAAATTATAACCGTCGAAAATGTTTACTTAATAATATTGATTGGAATGGCGTTAATAATTTACGATAATACAGGATTCAGGAAACATGTTCATGTCTTGTTCTAGTCCAAAAATATTTAAATGTATTTCTTTGTTATTTTACCATTATCGAAAGACGAAAAAATCATCGATAAAAAAGTATTGTAGCACGAAGTATGGAATTGTATAGCCTGTTTATGGCAATAGGATCATCTTCCATTACAGTAGACTTATAATATAGCCGATGAAAATTCATTGGTAAGTTGTATCTGTGTACCTTTGCGTAACCCTTCCGTCTTTAAAGGACCTAATATTATGTTGTATTATCGTTCTGTCAACATGTTTGTGTTCACTCACTTGCCGGGCTGTAGACACATGTATGCCGACTCGCCAATATGGTCAACTGGGGCATCCGACACGTAGTAAATGTCACTCAGTCGCTTCTCTGTTTCCACGGCTATCGACACGTTTTTATTCGGTCCTGTATCACCGACGTAAACAACTCTGTAAAAAAATATTGATCAATTCCATAGTCGACAATATTTTTAACTACTTGTGACAGTCGACTGCTGGACAGATCTTTCTCTATATTAGAGAGTTCGTCAAAAACGACACGCTTAACAACTGGTTGAGAAATGCAGTTTTAAAGTTTAGGTTTATCAAAGAGCGATGCTACCTTATCTATGTTAAATGTGCAAGCCCTTAATCGGCTTTTATAGCACCCGCAAAAAGCTAAACAAATAAAATTAAATATAACTTTGCCGTCACTATACAACAACCATTGTCCTTCCTACATTCTACATATTATATCTATTTATATTGTCTTCGACACTTTCAAACTCACACGACATCCTTGGCAGACTAAACTTTCATATACATTATGACAACCGAGAAAGACTGCGCTTTTCACGCTTCGCCAAGTCGCCAAGTGAGATAAAACACTGTCAACTTTAAAACTTTACTACTGCAGTAAGTTTAAGTTAAGAACAATTCGTAATCGCATTTGTTTGCATCGTAAGTCGCTGAGATAACACACATTGCAGTCCTTTTTCATTGAACTAAGACATCATCACATATAGAACTTTACGGTTTATCGATATAAGGCTAACTAATTAATAGTAATTACTGGTAAAGCTGATACTGATAACTCAATAGACATACAAGTAGTACTGCTGCTAGTAAGCTTAGTTTAGCGAAGAAGCTAAATCAAGCTTTTACTTCAGTCTCACAGCTAATAACCGAAACTTAGAACTTACAACCTTTGATAGAACATACAAGTTGTATGCACGGCAAGCCAGATGTTAGGAAGCTAATATGCTAACTGTCATGTCAGCATAAAGACAAACTACCACGCCATCTAGTTATACTAGACTAGATAGTAGATCCGCTACAACTGTGTGTTTATTATTTAATTCATGTTAGTTTGCCGACGAATTCCTAGTCGACAGTCATAGCTGACAGCAAAATCTTACACGTCACGATAAACTGAGTGAACATAATGATATATTATTACCTAGTACCAATATAATTTGATGTGGTGTGTGTGATGATCTATTAGAGAATTATTTTTGGAAATGAAATACCGAGTTAAAATGACAAAACATTTTTCCTGGAAGTAAAAGAATGTGGGCGTTATACTTAGTATAGCTACCCTCGCAAGTAATAAGAAAATCGATGCCGGACGTTCTCAAATCTCTCAGACAAATAGGTAGTACCGAACCCAATTAAAGAATTTGAAACCTAAATTTTGGACCGTTACCTTCCTCGAATACGACTACCTCATAGGAAGAACTGCAACTACACGAATATGATATCGAGTAAATTGAATAGTCGGTGCTTGAATATCCACCTAAGAACACTATCCCTCGAAATTATAACTTGAGAACAATCGAACAGTAATTACTGTTCGCTAAACTACTGCACTATTCTATTCCAGGTAATTGTTTGTTAAGGCGAGTATTGCATTTCAAGTACCTTTAGGCAAGATATAGTTGTCTTGCTTTTAATGCAATGTAAACACTAATTTGGGATTCTGAATTCTGTTATGAAATTAATTCTAAATCAACCAAATCTTTTTTGCTGTAGGATAAGCCATCCTCACATCCCTTCTACTGCAAGCCTCGTATGGTAGGATTCAAAACAGCGAGCAAACAAAAACAAACCATGCAAATCAGTCGAAGATACTTAAATTTGGCTATTGTGCCCTCGCAACTCGTAGCCTTCAATTTGGATGACACCAATACGTTGGAAATAACCAAACGCGAGCTTCGGATGAGCAAACTGTAAGCGGTTCCCGACCTGCACATACTAGACGTAACATTCAAAAAGCATTCTTTGTTCATGCTTCCAACTGACATAACCACTCAAACGACGAAGTAGCCAAGACACTGAAGAATGTCTTTCGGACCTTGGCTACCTTATAACCTTTGTCCAAGAATCCTTCTATGAAATTAAGTTGAGAGCATTTTGACAGTACCAGTAGCATCGGAATTCCGTCCGATACGGCTACCGCACTGCAACCGGGTCCACAGAACTCTCCTGAATTCCTAAACGAATGGAAACTAAACTTTGAAAGCATTTTCACCGTCGAAACAATATCTGAATCACTATAGTTATGACTAGTAAACTCCAGAATTCTAACAATTTACAATGGAAAGGTAGATTTCAATTTAAACTACAAGTTGATATTGTCCAAATTGGTCGTGGTTTTGATTTAGAGAGGATTTGATATTTGAGACGGACAAAAGCATTTAGTGGCTGAGGATATCAAATTTCTGAGTAATAAGTCGGCGTTAGAGTTCCAAAGCAAACTAAGAGTTAGCGAATTGGTTTGCAATCGTGTTATGACGGGATTGATAATAGTTAAAGTGGCTGCATTAAAAAAACATCTGCTGTGTTTTATGAATTCTTTCTAGAGCTTGTAAACTTTCTAATGAATATAGCGAAGCTATTTTCAATTACTTTTTAAAATTGGTAGTATATTTCACTAAAGCATCCAACGAACAATTCGAACTAAAATTGCGTACACTATACCCAAAAATATTTTCTTTAACAGTTCATTATAGGGCGGTACGGCTTGTCTTTTTCTTTATTTCATTTCCATTGACCCACTTTTTTTTCTTCAAATGTACATCTATCAGCTGTCATTACAACATTTACGGGAAGTAAATGGTAAATGAATGATTGATAATGTCCAAGGCAAGTCATATTTCATCCAATCCATTCGTAGGTACTGTCATACGTATTTAGCCCGTTGAAATCCACCCCCTAAATTTGGTCATACAAAAGTAGTCTCTAAACATTACAAGTAAGGTCTATAATGTAATGTAATATTAGTGGAAAGCGGTCACCGGTGACCGCTTGGTGATTTATGGGTTAGGCCTCTTTCTTGTGATAATGACAAAAGAAATTAAAGTTGGTTCATTTAGGTAGGCTATGTGGTAGTAAGGTAGGTTGGGAGGATATTACAATTGGGATGATGACAGGGTATGAAAATTAAAAATCGAATTAGGTAGTAAGATAGGTAATGAAAACATACTAAACACGTATTATTTTATTTTGTGGTGTAATAAAACGATACTTAGATAAAACGAATCAAAGTTTAGGAGTGAGGGTTAAAACGTCATATCTATGTATCGTCGAAAGTACTTGTTTTTGTAAAAATACGTGTCAAATGATAAAATACGCCTCCTTGGTGCAAACAACAAAAATACAGTCGAAAGGAGAACCTCCTCCATTTTTTGAAGTAATGTTAAAAAGAAATCGCTGAAACCCAAGGCACACGCATAACTTCGCAGTAAATTGGATAATGCTTTTTGTTGTGGTCGCTAGTGTCAGCAAAAGTTTTGCATGAAAGGAGAATTTGGAAACTCAGCGGAAAATGCAGGAAATATCCCCCTTACGATAAAGGGACGAGAAATATACCTCAAACCAAAAAAAATCAATAAGTGGCGCGGAAATCTGAAATGTGGAGAATTTGAAACTTTTTCTTAAAACTATACCGTCGCGAGGCAGTGGCATATAGCTCAGAAATATATTTAAAAATTTTGACATGATATTTCGCAGAGGAAAGTCGAATATAGGTGGAGACTGGTGCACTTCTATAGAACTATTTGACACTGACTGGCGGGCTTTTACACTTCTGGAATAAGGCTACGTTCTGTGCACTTTCTGCACATCAAAACTTAGTATTTCGACATTCGATATTCTTTCAAGCGTGCCTATGTTTTCTGAATATTCTTTCTTAGAAATTTAACTGTATTTTACATCTGAACGTAAATAATATAAAGTGATGGACATAGGTGGGCATTAAAGCCTATACTTCATCAATCTTCTAAAAAGTCTAATACAGTGACATATAAATTAGATCATTCCTAATATTCGCTCAGTACGTTATCATTTCGATAAAACGTAATCGATTTCAAAAACACGCTTCTGCTGTTATAGTCAGAAGCTCGGTAATACTGTTTTGCCATTGATTGGGACTTCGATTACCTTCAAATTACTCCGGAGCAACGAGGTTCCAGGTGCACGCCCAATTTCTGATAATAGGTTCATGTCGCGTTAGTAATCAACAGCAGTGCGTCTATGGAATACTAGACACAAAAGTGCCTGCTAATAACTGGCTATCGACTTCGATATTCAGGATTTCATTTCCGAAAACTTCGTCTACACTATGGCAAAGTGGACCTCTTTACCAACCTCATTTGGCTTAGAATCAGGTTGTGACGTGACATGTCAAAACGAAACACGATCTCACTATTTACAAGAACATGTGTTGTTATATTAATCCATATACAATACCGAGCGGCCTATACCTGTACTATAATTATCTTATGTATCAATCACCAATTAGTTTGTGGTCGAGAGCACAAACTATACAGTTCTATATAACTACTATACCTATATATATCATATAACTATACTATATATACTAATACTTACTTTAACTTTGGTTTCCCAGTCAGCGACTTCACAAAAGGATTCGGATCCATGAAATACAAGCCGATTTGATCATCAGAATTCTGTCCAATTACAACTGGCATGAACTGCAAACGAACAAGCAAACAATAAATATAATCCATGTATGTATTAATTATCTTTCTTTCATTAATTAATAAAATATGGATAAAGTAAATCCGATTTCCGTTAATCACGTTGTAATATTCGTTGAAATTTTAAGTTTACGTTAAAACCAATGATATGTCTAATTGTAATGGAAATATATCATTATATTTTACCAGCTGTGCCTCATCTTCATATCATTATATTCGTATTTACACTTAAAAAAAGAATCAGAAAGAATTAATCCACTGATCACGTAAATAAATACCTGATAACATTTTCACAAAGTTTAACGAAGAACACCAATTTAGGTATATGCAAATTAATAAAGCCAACCCAATATAAAGTCGCGAACTAAACAGATAGCTCAGAACAACAACAGAATCGTATCTCGAGAGATGCGCGATGCAATAATTACGGCCAATTACGACCTCATCCAGACCACCCACGACTATGCTCTAACTAGTTTAAGCCATACTGTACAAGATGAGATTGCGGAAATAGTTTACTCAAGGATATTAGAGGTAGAGTCGAGTAGATTTGCAACGCGTTTCAACTCGATTTTTAATCGATTGAATTTTGAAGTTGCTGTTTATTAGCATACATTCCTGTAACTCATGCTAGAAGTCAAATAAAATCGTAGCAACTTAATTTCTTAACTTTTTATAAGAAGTCTGACTACGCTGCAAGTACAAACATGCTAGGCAAGGCATGAAATCATGATATAGAACGAATCCGCAAAAAGTACGTTGCTGTTTGGGCGCCCCGCTTAAATATTTAATTTAATTTTTTTTCTGTATATCTTATAGTTAATTCTAAAGAGATTATTGCCAATCTATCAGATGAATAATAAACGAAAACCTTACGTTAACAATATTTTAATAAATAACGTTGGGGGAAAGCAGTTGACGTGGAATAACCACACGACGCCATGTTTTTGTTGGAGCACTTGTCACACATCCCACACTATGAGAGCGTGTGGCAACTGTTCACAGCATTTTGTGAACAGTTGCTACAAATTCAGTGGTCACCACCACTGAAAGGCGAATTTACGTAAAACGTCATTAGCTATCCAAACTCCTGTCAATCGCAGTGCTGATAAAGGATAGGCTGTTATTAAATGACAAACCAGTAAAAAAATTATATTACCAATGGTGTGATGATATATAATTTCTTCTCTTACATAGAATATAGTGAGAAATAGGTCAGTACGTTCATAAACTAATGTCTAAATTCATAATGACTTTGGTAAAACACAGCTGTATAAAAAACACCTAACATTGCAATAATACCTGTACTTAAATATTTTCCTATCGTTCCTACCTTAGAAATAAATTAAATTAAAATAAATGAAAATGAGTTTCTCACACGGATTTTCACCCGCATGTAGACATAATCCCCGTGCGATAGCGCGCCCCCACTCCATGGTAAAAAAACTTATATGAAATTATAGGATTCAGGCGGTTTGTACGGGACCGAAATCCGCATGTGGGAGAAAAACACATAATGAGAAAGGACCCAGAAAACCTTAAAAACTTCGCATGCATGTGTAAATTTATTCATTTAGCTACCTACCTAAAAATGTGTTGCAAAACATATAGGTACAACATATCAACGTGTTCGGATCAGATTTCACAACTACATTTTTTATTTATTTCATGTACACTATAAATTTGGTAAAAATTCAGTAGAAACGAAAATCTGGGCGACCATTTTGTCATTTGCTTTTTTTTGTTTCATAACAGCAGAGCGCGAGGCTTGGCACTGGCGTTTTACCAGGAACCTAACATTGACGCCTAACTTGAAATCGTTTTCATTTTCCGTTTACAGTTTTCTGCGAATAAATTGAAAAAAAAAATACCTTTTATTACACCATAAAATAAATATGAACTTAATGAGAGGTAAATGTTATCTTCCCTCTAATTAGGAAACTGCTAAAACTTTGACGAAAAATATAAGTTCTGTTTGGCTTTCATAATTGAAGAGAATGAGCTATTACTATCATTGCCTACTCAGACTAATTATGAGCACGAACTAAAACCCCCAGTCATTGAAAATACTTTCTACCAGTAATTAAAACATTGTTGCAATCAGTATAAATTCTCATACCTTATCTTACAAACTGTGTTTTACTTTTGAGTTTATTAAATAGTTCTTTAAAATGTGCATACTCATCAAAACTAAACAATGACCATAGCATTGTAATGAATTAACCTATTTATTGCACACAACTATTATTGCATCTGATTTATAAAGAGCTTGATCGGACACACGATAGGCGTGTGTGCCGCATATTTGCATTATACAGACAGCTACATATACATATATATATATCTGTCATACACGTGTAGATATAAAATTAGCTACCACCTATTACAATATTAGCGTAGGCACGAGTATTTTAAAATGTCAGCTCCAAATTAATCAGGATTGATTTATCGCCCGATGCTTTGGTTGTATGTCCAAAACTTCAGATACCTTCCTAACTTATTTTACTGTGCCAAGAGCCTAATTATTTACATAATTATTATACACATATTGTTACTTAAATCAATAAATAGTATAAAACAAAGTCGCTTTCGCTGTATGTCCGTATGTATGCTTAGATCTTTAAAACTACGCAACGGATTTTGATGCGGTTTTTTTTAATAGATAGAGTGATTCTTAAGGAAGGTTTGTATGTATAATAAATGCATAATATAGTAGAGAAACACTGATAAATTTAAAGGTTTCTAATGTGATGTCGTAAATAAGCACGTTTTTTTGCGCTTATATTGCAAACGCTGGCTGAACCCTACGAGATAGACCAAAATAATATACTACAGTATTGTTCACCTTAAAAAGTTCAACAAAAAAGTCCGCGATGGTATATGTCTATCTCTTAGGGATAACCCAGCATAACCATTTTTATTCTTTACTAAAAATGGTTATTTACGAAGTGATTTTAAACAATACAGCATTAATCCTTATCCAATTAAGTACCTTAAATAAATTGTGCATTTATTATAGATCAATATGCTTTTTAAAGCATGTAATTTAAGTGAATATTACCGAAGATATTACAAATTTAAAATGCAGGGTCGTAGTTGTTTGCGCCGGGCGGCGCGTGCCTATAAATAGCGCTTCGATGGCCGCGCTTCGCCTTATAGTACTTTATGATTTGCAGCGATCGCACGCGTTTATCGGAGCTCTCTAGCGAGGAGAATATCAAGAATTAATTAAACTGAATAGAATAAGTATCTTTTGTTGTTGATTATCTTTTAATTTTTATTATTATTATTATATTAATAGTATTGAAAGTACATTAGGTTAGATAGGATTACCTTAAAACCATATTTCTTGGAAGCCCCGAATTCCTCTGATACCATCAGATTTACCGTTCTAATTTAAACGCCTACAATTTCCGATAAAAATATCTTTTGCAATGACCATTAATAAATCGCAGGGTCAAACTTTTAACGTTGCAGGATTAGACTTGAGTGTTGAGTGTTTTTCACATGGCCAATTATATGTCGCGCTGTCAAGAGTAACGTCTAAGCAAAACATGTTTGTATTGGCTAATGACAAAAAAGCTGTGAAAGTTGTGTATAAGGACATTCTGTAGTAGGTATATTTTGCATTGCACCCGTGCGAAGCCGGGGCGGGTCGCTAGTTATTTATAAACAAATTTAACTGATGACGATACAAACTTCTAACAAACGAAAACTTGGCCTTGACCCAGTCAATATTCTCGGAAATAGCTATGAAGGTATCAGAACAAAAAGTACAGAAGGAACTTTGCAACAACAATAGCAAACTTCCGCTCAAACCACTAATAAAACACAAAGTGGGAACAAATCGTACATCCATTAATGTCGAGAGAACAAAACCATTTATTGTTAACACCTGCATGTATTTTCTATCTCAATTACATTATTAGGAAACTTGTTCGGAGAAGAACTGAACAAAAGTAAGCTTTAAAATTAGTTTGTGACTGTATCGCGTTGAACATGGATAGGTTCGAGCATCGAGGTGGAATAAAACTTATACATATTTTACAATATCATGAATCTGTTCTAGCTCAACGAACACGCTAATTAGAGTATCGACATATGCGATGTAACAAGTACATGCGACGAGTTTGTAAGCAGCTGTACGATTTCCAATATACCCTTTTTGCTTTTACCTCTTTTATTTTTGTTTTGATTTCATGCAGGAGATATCGTGCAAATGAGAGCTTTAAAATCGATAAACCTCATCATAATTTGACCTTGGTTGGGAATTGATCGCGAAAACAATTAATGAAATGTAAATAAGTCCTGTTTTGTCAGCAAGTTGTGGCGATGGCTTCGCCTACACTATATGTACGTAGATTAAACGACGAAGCTTTTTTTTAAGGGGGAAAAATCATCGAATGACTCCTCCCGCCTGGGTGACAGACTCTTACTGACTAAAAACCACCCCGTTCGTTCTCCTGCACGTCGAGCCGGAGCCCCGTTTACCCATTAGGTTCTCCGCGACTAAACGACGTAGCTTACGATCTTTATAATTTATAGGTAATGTGAACTCCATCCTAGTGTAAAATTTGATCTAAGCCTATTGCTATTATATTAGTAGACGATAGAATTCTGACGAACTTAAAAAAGGATTATTCCTAACAAAATATTAGAGAATCGAATTACTTTCCCAACCCAAATATAATGAAGACCAACCATTCCAGCTACGGTTTTCAATTCTTCTTTCGCGATATGCTTTTTCATAACTCTTCCAGCACAGTTCACAGGGCTGGTGGCTGTGACAGTGAGACCTTTGTGGGGCAAGGGAGTCATGAGTGCCGTGCCGTGCTGCTCCACCGTCGCTAAACCTTCACCCCGGATCGCCATGTCCACCGGACAACCCAACGTGTTCATTATCACCAAACCTGTCTGACGGTGACCAGGAACTTGCAATGTGGATCGCTGCAAATAAAACAAACCTTAGCCCAATAAGAAGATATACTACTTAAGTGCACAATATCTTTCATACAACACCATCAGAACGCTTTGTTTACACCAAACTGGGAAACCGAATATAGAACTGAGTTAAAAACCTAAAGCACAAAGATACGACTAAGTATTTCACTTTGTTCCAAACTTAGCCGCATAATATATGCCAGTTACCATGAATTAGACAATGAGCATTGCATACCACTTTTAGACAGATTCAGAGCATCTGCATTAGCATTGTTCATTGTGAAATAGATATTCCACGTGGAAATGAAGACAGTTGCGAAACATTTACTCTGACAATTTTAAGCTCGTAGGTACCTCTATGCCAATTTGCAGGATTCCAGCAGAAACAAATGCCATTGCAGCTAGCATTCCTCCGATGAACATTTTCTGGAGTGGTGGCATATCTGGGAGTATAGGCCAGGCCCCTCCTGGACAGACCGGGATCATGAGAAGAACCATCGCAGGGTTCATCACTTGTAGCTGGTCCGGCATTAAGGTGACACCGAAGACCTCACTTCGTAACCTTGAAGCTTGGAAAGTCCAACGAGAACCCTGTAAGTAGATATTATAATGAAATTAAATTATGAATTTATTTTTATCTATAGTATTTAAACTAAATTAAACAAAAGATTCTTTTATACGTCAACATTAAAAACAAATTAGACGAGGCCGGCATTTCTTAACTGACTACCCTAAGAAGAAACAAACTCAACGATCCGTCTCTTTTCAAGTCCAGACTAAAATATAAGACAAAAATGTGTGAGAACCGTGTGAGATCATTCTGTAGCGGTCTTAACCTGTGAAATATCGGAACGCGAACGGAGACCTACGCGCGACACAATGTGATTCCTATGTATTGTGCCTCATATATCGACAGACAAGAGGTTAAGTTATAGTGTCAAAGTTCAGAGACAGAAGTTCTGTTCAAGCACAGACATTTCTTAATGAGTAATAATAAAAAATACTAATTGATTAATAATCGATTGATGAAATTATCGCATTTAGAATTATAACAATATTCGACGACAAAGCACATTCCTTTGAAACATAAGTCACGGTTAATTTAGTTAGCTAAGTTATAAAAATGAATACAACTCGTAACACGTCCAAGAACTAGGTATTAGAATGTAATACAAAAGACTTTCAAAGCACTGAAAGTAGTGGCAACTTTGCGCATCTGTCTTATCTTTCTTCGGTACATTTTACAAAGTAACTACGACCTGTCCTAAACAAAGTCCATGGATTTGAATAAACAAAGACCAGTCGCGAAAAAGCAAGCACTAATGAAAAAAAATGTTAAGATATATATACTCTTTGTAATTGTTTGTTTGTACTTCAATACATAGTATAAAACAAAGTCGCTTTCGCTGTATGTCCGTATGTATGCTTAGATCTTTAAAACTACGCAACGGATTTTGATGCGGTTTTTTTTAATAGATAGAGTGATTCTTAAGGAAGGTTTGTATCTATAATACATGCATATTGCACCCGTGCGAAGCCGGGGCGGGTCGCTAGTAATCTATGAATGGGTAGGTAAAAATGTACGTAGGTAAGTTTTTCATTAATTTGTCCGATTTTATAGAGGGTAAATCGATTTATGATATTCGAATGAATTACAGAAAACCAAGATAAAATTTTCACCAGTCGATCGCAATCACATGTCATAAAAAACGTAATGCTCCAATACTGAAACTGAAACAGTACTCAACTTTATGTCGCACTTTAACTCGTCGAATACCGGTTTTGCAGACACAATTATAGAACAATAGGTTGCGGTCACCGGTGACCGCTTGGTATTTGACAGTTTAATATGATTCTGTCACTACTACACATTCTTTGTAAAACAGAGATGGCACGCTATTTAAATACAAATTAAAATTGAGTAGCCTCTCAGAGTTCGGGCGTAAGTAACGCGAGAATCCAATACGTATAATTCGTTCAGGTAAACTTATTGACAAGCGGCGTCAAAATGTCTTGACGACTGGAAACCGACCCCCAGCCTTCACCTCGATACAAAAATAGCACAACTTGACTAAAACCATCAAAGGTCAAGAATGAGACTTGAATATAGACCTTGATGACTTAAACTTTCAACTTGTACAGGTACCCTTTAATTTAGTGATCAACAATTCGATGTAACAAAGTTTTTTGCAAATGTCAAAATAATATTAACATAGCTGATTGTGATTAACTATGGTTCCTGCTAAACTTGACACTCATGAGGCAGAGGTGTAGCAATACAACAGTTTCAGCCCTTTATAATAATAAACACTTTATTGTACACCATTTACAAAAGACAATAACAAGGAAATATAACAAAACAGTTGAAAGGTCTCCGCCCGATATCTATGCTTCGACCTCCGTTTACAACCTCCGATTAAAAAGTGTCGATTAAATAATTCCGACTTAACGGAACCAGAATCGAAGCTCCGTAACATCCCCAATATACATACGAAAATGAGAATAGCAGCTACTCTATTGGATCTGCGTTAGACAATGATCCAATTTTTTTTTTTAATTCAGTAATTATTTACCAGAAAGAAGTTGACAACGGCTACGGCTATTTCAAACTGATCTACGTCATATCAGTGCGAGGTACAATTGCGATCCAGTTTTATATATTTGAACTATCTATATTAATAATTTCGTCAAGGGGTACGGTAGACTCGATCGAAACATTACCTGAATAACAAAGTATAAAAAATTATCGATTTCGAGTCGACAACATAAATATATCTAACCGCAAAATTCGGATTACGGAGATTATTTCGTTTTATTAATTCATTTTAATGACACTGACAGACAAACCGCAGTCGCCATCTTGAGTAAACAATAAACGTTTCGTTTCATACTAGTTAGCTCAAATACGCCTCGCCAATCAACAAGAAATATGAATATTGTGACCGTGTAAATAAGTATTGACGGAAACATTTGACGGACATTTATATTATACAGAAGTCACTATTCCACGCGGATAAAGTCGCGGGTAACAGCTAGTGTTTGCAATAAACGCAGTCCTCAATCCATCAAGCAGTAGGAATATTATAATATGACACCTGCTTCTGACCAGTTGTTTTATAAAAGTATCATGTACCTAGCAGGGGTGAACTTATCGCTACTGGGCAAAGCGCAATACAGGCATACAAATCTCTAAAATCGAATAAAATAGGAGCATACATAGAAATTTCAGAAAAATAAAATATATACCTGTTGGTCAAAGAGTGACCAGAATATGGGCACTGGCAAGTAGAGATATAGAATGGAAAACACCACTTTCATATCAGCAACCAGTTTTTCGCCATATTTCTCGACAGCGTAATCCAACCAATGTTCCCTGGGCATCCCATCCGATTCGGAGTTATATTTGAAGCGCTTGCAGATCGCGTACTGGAAACAGTAACTAAAGCTCAGATTATGTAACTCGACAAAATATGCGTGTTGGTAAACAATTTGCAAATAATATTATATGTTAGATACAGTTGCTATAAATAACTAAAAATAAGGAGCACCTATATACTTTCCAATTCCAACTAATTTTAGATACACTTAACAATTTAGTCGTAGTTTAGTTTACTCAAACTCGACGAAGGAACTAGGTAGACATTCGAACAAAGTTAACGTAAAAATAACATAAAAAGGTCTTTAAATAAACCAGTACCTACTACGTACTAATAAACTCAAAGATTATTCTTTAGTAGAGACAGAAATAAAATCTTGAAGAAAAATATCCTTTAATTAAAGAGGAAAAGAAATATCGACAGTCATGTTTTAATTAAGGATATTTTGAAATAACTACACTGTACATTTTTTTCTGTTTACAACTCCGATGTTGTCGCGAAACATTGAGCATAAAATAAACAATAAGTCGATGTTAATTAACGATAGATTTTTTATTTATACTTTTCGCTGCGTTTCTGCAACTCTTTACTGTAAACATTTATACAAAGCTGATTAGCTGATGTTTGTTATTCTCATAACAGGATATAACTATAAAATTCCACTAAACTAATGTTGTTTTTTTTTATGGCATAAGCCGGTAAACGAGTAGACGGATCACCTGATGGTAAGCAATCGGCGTCGCCCATGGACACCTGGAACACCAGAGGCGTTACAAGTGCGTCACCAGCTTTTTGGGGATTAGGAGTTTGAGGATCGTTGGGGATTCAGGGATTGGGGGACAGGGGAAGGGGAAGGTAATTGGGCCTCCGGTAATCTCACTCACACGACGAAACACAACGCAAGCGTTGTTTCACGTGGGTTTTCTGTGAGGCCGTGGTATCACTCCGGTCGAGCCGGCCCATTCGTGCCGAAGCATGGCTCTCCCTCTACAATTTTTCAAATTTTTGTCAAATGTTTCAAATTTTTCAAAAAATAAACAAAAAATAATTCGGATATTTTTAGAATTAACAATATAAAAGTTTATTGTCATGGTGGATTGTGGCACTAAGTGCCATAATGTGCACATCGGGCGGCGCGTTTACAGCATTATGTATTGACGTTATGAAATATATCATACAACACACGAATTAAAGTTCATATTTAAATGACAAATTAATTGTTGTGTTTGACCTTAACATGTTAACCGTGTCTGCAACTTGAATGATTCAACTCGAATGTAGAAGTAAAATGTGTGTACAAAATACCAATAAAGTGGCATTAGAATAGAATAATCTTTATTGTACACCAATTTGAGACAGTATAATAATCTACGAAATCAAGAAAATAGGGTTCAAAGGCGGCCTTATCACTAAAAGCGATATCTACCAGGCAACCTTTGGGTGGATAGAATACTATAGTAAGATAAATGAGGTAGCTATAGCTTGGTGTACTGAGGTGTTTATTTATATATGTAAAAGTAAAATTATTCATCGCCAAATTACATTATTATCATTTTGTCAGAAGAAATAGAAAATGTGTACTATGAATAACAGTCTAGGTATTTAAATAAACAAATAAATAAAATAGCTCTTTATTCAGATCCATCTAATAACTACCTAACCTAACTGTAACATAGTTTAAAATTGCCTAAGATTTGCATTACTTGGGTATCAACTGGTTAAGATTTTTTTTTTCTAGGTATTTACTCATTTTAAATTTTTCAATAAAAAATTACACCACAATTATGACTAAGAAAAATAAAAATATTAATTTTCTACTCATACCAACCCCAGCAAAAATTTACTTAGACATTGATAAAGAAATATTTTCTTCGGAATCTGATTTTGTAGAAGAATTTTCTTAAGAATTTTCTATGAAAAATGTATTGTAAAATTCAATATAAAAGAACTGTAGGGTATTTCGTTTTTTGCTGTCATAGTACTGAATGCTTAAGAGGTTTATGTTGAATGAAATGGCTGACTGCTCAATAATGTTCATCTCGGTTTAGTCAGAAAAACATTGAGAATAATAAGATAACGTTTTTGCAAGAATAAAAGTAAAAAGAAATAGGCGGAAGGAGTGAGAGGTAACTGGGTGCAGTTGCACTCTCCTTCTGGCGAACGAACATTTTCTTCAAAGAATAGATTATCATAATATTTCTTCTGTCAGTACTCACTCAGTAGAAGATTTGTGAGAACCAATAATTAATTGACTCGTACTCCTTAATTACTGAGAAATGAAGATTGCTCCTTCCCTCACCATGCCTTTGTAGTCAACGAGCTGGTTAGACAAACAGTTTACTTTTTTATGGTATAAGCCGGTAAACGAACAGACGGATCACCTGATGGTAAGCAATCACTGCCGCCCATGGACACCCGGAACATCACAGGCGTTACAAGTGCGTTACCGGCCTTTTAGGGATTAGGACTTTGAGAATTGTTGGGGATTCAGGGATTTGGAGCAACTGGGGTGGGAAGGAGGATTTGGGCCTTCAGTAACCTCATTCACACGACGAAACATATCGCTGTGGTTGTTTCCCGTCGGTTTTGTGTGAGAGCGTGGTGTCACTCCGATCAAGCCGGCTCATTCGTGCCGAAGCATGGCTCTTCCACGCTTACTACCATTTTATCTACCTTAACTTTTTTATGATCGTATTCTCCAAAAACAAGGCGTTTTGAGTAGGCAAGCAGGCTATGTAACTAGACTTATTTTTTTGGTAAATAACGTTGCCCCACATTAGGATTTTCTCCTGTATCGTGGGTGCGTTTACAGACATACAAGTTCACACACAATGACATCCAGACCCGAAACAACAATTTGTGGATCACACACAGTGTTGTTCCGTGCGGGAATCGAACCCGCGGCACGTTGCCGCGCACCGCACCAACCGTGCAGTCATTATGACTATATGATACTATATGAGCCGAAAATTTTGATGAATCAACTTGAACAAACAAACTCTGTAACTTTTAAAAAAGTTGAGTGGTGACTGATGCAAAGTAAGTTTTAGTTTTTGGTGGCCTAGTGAACAAAGTTATAATGAATGAATTTCAGGCATAAATAGACATAGCATCACGGATATGCTTATTTTTCTCCTGACCTTTTCTTAATTACTTTTTGGGTTCGGCTCTGAAACTGAACCAGATTTAGCTAGATGTCAGTATAGTTTACGTTGAGCGTATACTATACTGACATCTAGCTCTACGTTATAATCTGTTGTAGGTGCTTTAGCATAAAACCTAAGGTATAGATAGTGTTTCATATACTGACGTGAGTATTAAGATGAAAACTTTTAATGGTACACAGAATTAAGTACGGCATCTAAAGTCACGGTTCTTTGTTAGATATATTAACTTCGTAAAGAAAGTTAAGTATATGTACAAGATTGTAACGATAGGGTAGGTAATGATCCAAACTTACATTCTATGCCTGAGTGATAAAGGCTTTATATTGAATGACAGAAACGATTACCAGCTTTTCGAGTTTTCTTTTTTAAGTAACTTTAATGGCTATGAACTTACATGAAATCAGAGTACCTAAATTGCAAAAACTGAACAGTTACGCTTTTAACTACTACAATAACTCTTTATAAATAATAAATCGTTGTAAAGCAGCCAAAAACGTTCGGTAAAACTGTGTTCTCGTGAAATTCGAAATTGATACTTTCATAAAAACATTTACTCGTGAAAAAATATTTTGTATATTTCATTCAATAACTGTTTTATAGGGATTTTTGGGAATTTATTCCGTTATTTTATTTTACGATATTTAATTACTTCACCGTGAATTAAGTATTTTTAATTTATTTATTCTACGGACACAATAAAATAAATTCTGCGCTCTATGTGTCTGAACGTTTTATTTTCCCCATCATGATTTTGTTCAGTATGTTGCAAGCAGAATAGTAGACCATTTATCACAATAATGTGTTTAATAGGTTCCATTATATGGGAGTCTGCACTGTTTTTATTACAGGTAATGGATGACAGTGAAATGTTTCTTATAATTCTAAAGAGCCATATTTGGTTCATTCATCACAAGCAATAGCCGCGAGTAAGAATGTCTATCAATCATCACACTGCCGTGCACATCCTTTTCACAGGTTTTTTGCTATAGACTGTAAAAGGAGAATATCAATGATTGATGTCCTTCACTAATATTTCTGGGCTTTCCCCATACGACGATATTAGTGCCAAATTATTGGAATTTTCGCGAAGGTTGCTTAAATGTAACCTTAATGTGTTCTGGTTTAAAGTTTCCAATTCTCGAACAAAACAGATGCACTAATTTTTCTGTCCATTATACTCAATTATATTTTGTCATTATAGAATTGTAGAATACAACTCGGATCTTTCTCATCGAAAATTCCTCAGTGACTAAAGACCACGATGTTTAACCAGTGTGTGTTGCCAGTAATGACGTATGGTACCGAGACGTGGTCCTTGACCGCTGGCATTCTACAGAAACTCAAGAAGAAGTCACTCAGCGATGCAGAGAGCTACGCTCGGGGTTTCTTTGCGTGACAAAATCCGCAATATGGAAATTCGCCAAAAAACTAGAGTTGGTACCGACATAGCTCGCAAAATCTGCAGACCTGAAGTGGCAATGGTCTTCCGACTGTTGACGATGATGATGATTTTGTAATTATTATCGGAATATCGGAAAACAACATGAAATACATACATACAACAAAATGAAATTCTTCTTTTTTTCTACTCTGTTACAAACGATTTAACCTTTATCAGTTTAAATATTGAAATTTATTTTATCGTTATATAATTTTTTGCAGCATATTTTCTTTATTCTCATTTTAAAAAATAACAAGAGTCGTTAAATCCAAGGGGATTGTGCTGGCACAATCCCCGAGTCTGGACGACGACGAGTCTGGACTCATGGTGACCATGAGAATTATTGGAGTAGCGGGAAATATTAGGATCTGTCCAAACCACTTACGAACTCATAGATCTTAATAGCACCGTCACTATATGGTTTGGACACAATGGACTGAG